ACTTGAGGAACCTTCGTAGAAGCGAGTGAACCCATAAACGATGGTTATGGCCGCTCATAATCCGAACACATTTCAAGTCGCAGTTAGGTATCTATCGAGCGGAACAACACAATGGTTTGATCACTCAAGCAACTCAAGGCAATTATCAATAAGCAACACAGATCGGGCGTCGCTGACTTCACTGTGCATGTAGAAATATATACTGCTTCCGTCGAAGAAGCCAATTACTACTAATTTCTCATCGAGTAGCCATAAAATAGCTATCACAGAAAAGAACTTATCTACAGTGTATAGAATAGTGGAGTTTCCCCAAGGGCTTAATTCGAAATAGAACAGAAGATAATCCACTTCAACAACAGTACAAGGCAACCGTTAAATGTCGAGTACATACGGAACAATAGCCTTCAGCACTTCGCTTCCGTCATTGACAAGTTAGAGGCTCATCAGAAGTGGACGATGGACGCTGAGAAACGCCTCGGTAATCCTACAGTCCAGTCCGTGACAGAGACTCACTAACACTGTTCCTGCCAGCTAGTGGCGTTAGACAGAACTGATTCCCGTTCTGAAACATAGAGACATATAAACGTCGGCTGAGGTTCCCATGTCATATACTAAAGTCGAGAGGATTGAAACGACAATCCGCATGGATTTTTAAGTTTATATGCAAAACGTTGAAGCACCTCATTGTCGTTCTCCTTGGTATCGCCATGCATCACGTCAAACTGGCAGCCAGTATCAATCGAAGTCCCCCTTCTGAAACAGATCCAATCAGCACATAGTGCCCAACCAGATTATTGTGACGCGAGCAAGTCCCTAAAGCTACCCTTGGCCAAGTTTGTTCACCACTACTGAGCTGTCCGAAAACCCTGCACCAGCGCAAGGCTGCGCTCCCGCGTTCACCGTAGAAAAAGGCGTGCCTGCCGAACGGTTAACAAACTACTCCACTGCTGAGTACTAACCAAAGTCGCATGAAATACTTCTCCCTTGCTACAGTGAGCACCCCTATCTTACACGTAGATACACTAGGAGTATAATCAGGTGGCAATAGCATCATGTCCACTTCCGGGCATCCAGTCAACCCAGGCTCCTGCGTAGGTATATAGAGGTGACTCGCCAGAGATCCCAAAGTAGCCTATACATCCAATATATACAAAGCACGGAGGTCGACGTACATCAGTAGAATGATCAACCTGCCATTGGGTCTGCATCGCGTTATTGACCATCTGCGGTTGCATGGCGACACGGTCGCTCAGGTCCAGAGCTGTACAGGCCAAGAGGACCGCGCCATCCACGGGGTTAGCACTCGCTGGAACACAGAGTAGACAGTATGATGGATACAGCGGTAAAAGGTTGCGAAGACACCGGAAACTCGGAAACGTGAGGGCCTTGGACAACGACCAAAATTATTCCCCGACTCTCGCTCCGTATGAACACCTTATTACGATACGATTCTGTGAGGGAAACGACCAATCCCATAGTATATCAATCCTCAGGCTTGAAAACTTACACTACACTTACCACTGACGTTCGCCCGCTTGGTAGGCGGCTCTCTTCCAACACCAGTCAGCTCCTCAGTGAGTCTCTTCCGCACAAGACCAGTATCCACCTCACTGGTCCCTGTCATGCCATACTGATCTAACGCAGTAGAATCGAGCTCTGAAGGTGGCCTCGACTTAGCCTCAGAGACCTCAGGCATCACCTGCGACGCGGTCGCATGCAATCTGAGATAGAGCCTTGTCACGCGAATCAGCCAAGCCCATACCCTTGCAAAAGCTTAACCGCGATATCATCCGTGTTAGAGTTGCCCAAAAGCCCCTTGTCTTGGGAATAGGCCATGAGCTCGATGTCTCGGACCAGTGCTGAAGCATAGTCAACCTAAGCAGTAGACAATCCATCCAAACATGCCAAAAGTCGAATTGTAATGAAATTCATGTGAGTTAGGCGTCGCTGTTTCGGAAGATGCGTAAAGATATTCGTATCTTGAAACGGCTGCACGCGTGAAACGGCATCGAGTATCTTCACCGTGAAGACGAACTTTACAAATCACTCATAACAAGAGCTTCGGTAAACTTCAGACCCATCGTACCCCCTCAGGCTGCAAGTTATCCCACGATGGTAATTCGAATGTAGGCGATCCTTCCGGACTAGCTTCATCAGTGCCCTCAGATACACTCACTAGAGAGAGACGCTGAGACCCCGTCTTGTCCGAATCTAAGTGAAAATCACCATGTCGCTGTGGACAAGCCGCCCTACCACTCAAGTTGCCTGCCCCTGATGACAATTCAGCAGTGATATCCGAGGCCCAATTGAAGAACGATGACATATCCATATCTATCGGACCAAAATACCCGACCCGTTCGATTAGATACAGTTCTCACTTTGACCATCCAAGTTAATTCCCTCATGTCTGGCAGGAGCTCTCTCGCTAAGATTCATAGCTTTCCTCTTCCCAGCCCCACCCCGTTGTCGAGCTAATACGATCATCTATTGCGACTTAATTGACAAGTCTCACTGTTTCTCTTCTTCTCTCCGATGCCAGTGCCATCCACACCGACTTCCCGCAGTAGCTTGCGGGAATTCCTACGAACCGTCGAATACCTACCAAGACGACCAGTGTACGCGGAAAACCCCGACCGCATTCACAGATGAATGCCCATGAACAAAACGATCGAGCTGTGATCCACGAATTTCATCCTACCACAGATTCTTGATAGCATTATCAGTCCTGCCCGGCAACAACTTGGCGATTTCCGCCCAACGGTTTCCGAACCTTCTATGAGCCTCGAATATTATCTTATGTTCTTCACTCGTCCACGGCCTCTTATTAACCTGCCAGGCCTATGACCAACTCCATGCTGCCGTAAGAACACACTACTTGAGGATCAAGATGATTGTGCCATCGCTCACGGCATTGCTTAGCCGACCTAGCCACATAGCAGCCACCAGCTGCCGTATTCACTCGACACAACGCGTCCGCGATCATTGTCCAATTGCGTGTCCCCTTGTTCTGGACCATATCTCTGAGGACGGCATGCCTCCTCTGGAACGATCCAGATACAACAATCTACTTGATAATATGATCCTCATGTTCTTCCCAGTTCCTTCTGTCGCTCGCACACATTGAGCCTGCGAAAAAATCAACGAATACGATAAAGTAATTCTGATATCGGGAGAGCCAGTATCAGTTTCATCCACAACTTTTCCGCAAAAGTCTGATCCTAGTTTTACACTCAGGAAGGAAGAAACCCTTCAAATTCACATACCCATAGGGATCACTATGCTCGAACTACCAGCTACACAATCAGGACCAAGACGATCACGGAATATCAGTTTGAAGTGATCCCCTACTGCCTCTGCTACTGTTGCTGGTCTTAGATGATCCGCCTCCGAGCTGCCGGCGTTGACTCGATCCCTGCTGACCAACACTCCTCGGACGAAGATCGTGCACGAGGTTGCTGACCGATTCGAACATAACGTAATTAACCGAGACAGGCAAATTTGATAAGTACTCAACACAAGCATCACAGATCGGCCACGAAGAAACGATAATCCCCAATGCCGTCCAAAACACATCTCTCACGCGTACCTGTCACATATAACTGGCGAAGACCACGACTATACCATATGATTTACTTGTAGTTCGGCGCGAAGCGGTATGCCTTTTTGATCTGAGGCCCCTCGATATGAGTGAGACCCTCGTTGAACTTATATTGATCCCATTGGCAACGACGCCACTCTGAGCAACTACTTATCGTCAATCGCCTCCTGACAAACTTCCTACCATCGTTCCACTTGAAGCACTTGGTCGCAGCCTCCTCGGTTTCTATATCAGCCTGGGCCGTCAATAAGCATCGATACTCCTCTATCGCCAAATACCTACATGAACCATTCATGAATCGATACTACTATGATCATCTAAAACTCACTTGCAAGCATCATCAGGATCAGACTGATGAATTTTGTTAGCATATTCAGCAGTAGTCTCGCGTATCTCACTCGAGGTCCGTGGTTCAGCCTTACTTGGAACCATACCTAAACCAACAGTGCAACAACCTCAGGGACTCAACCCACCGAAGTGCTTGCCAACTTCCTTCTCCCAGTCTGAACCGAAGGTGTGTGGCTGAGGCTTCGGAGGGGCAGGAGCTGGAGGCTCGGGACCACCCCAAATCTGAGCTTGACTTTACCACTGCAAAGCCGAGTAGTGACCAAATTACCTCTCCTAACCCACACTCTTTGATGATCTCATAATTCTTCTCGGCCTCTGTCTTCGGCACTGCCTCGTACACGTTGTACCTACGAAAACCTTGGTCAACTTTTGGATGGTTCGTGAAATTTTTACCAAGTGTCCGGATCGTAGCCCATAGCTGCATCGGAATAGCTATGAACGCCAGGCTTTACCTCCGACTCGGGCTTGGTCTCGCACTCGGCCGTGTTGGGAGAAAAAAGTCGATATATGAGGTCATTCACCATGAGGGGCGCGGGATAGATTAAAAACGTCCCTAAAACAGAATTAGAGACAACATTTTCTCGGACTGTGAGGGAACGCGCCGTTTTCGGAAAGTCTACAAATCCACTGCAAAAATCTATTTTGTCAAATCTGATGTTTTGTCGTTCACAGATGCGTTGAGGAGCAGCAAGAAAATGCAAGATTGCAAGAGGTAGATCATGATTTGCACTAAGCACATTCGACGTGCCAGAGTGCTCCCTGGACTGGACTACATCTGTAAAAATCGATTCTGAGGTGCCCTTGGAACTCAGAAGAGGTCTATGGAATACTTTGATTAATACGATGGTACAGAATATTAATACCATCGAATTGAATACGATTTAGTGACGCCATCTGGATGTCCTTCGGCACTGAATGTCACTGTTTCCGTGAAGTGTTGTGTAAGAAGGTTCTTTCGGGACCGGGATTTACTCCTTTAAGTAACATTTATATTATACTTGCGCAATGCTACTCTCGCGGGTCGGGGCGTTGAAGAGGTAAAATTAATATCATCTCTGCATCTCCCACAAACAATCACTCTGTGGAAGGTTCTCGGCCGGGCCTGCCTACAACTTGACGGCTCAGCGATTCAAGAGCTACTACGACGACTTCAAGGATCGTCTTAAGCCGGGAAAGTACACCCAGGGTCGTTGCCCTCAAAGTGAAGGTGATTATCGTCAGGAGTCAAAGACCATCGGAAGGTGAGTACCTGTCTTCGCCTCAATGTTGGACTTCATTTCTTCAGGGAGCATCTTAATGATGATGGTACTCGCAGCAAGAGGTATACCGTGAAGGAAGGTGAGTGAAGTTGACTGTCTGTATCGATCAAATGTCATCTTCTTTTCAGCTGATGCCTTGGGTTATCATTATCATCCACCGATTGACAACAAGGGTCAGGTCTACGTCAAAGGACCTAATGCGGTTCACGAAAGGGGTCAGACTTGGATCAAAGGCTATGAGCTTCCCAGCATGGAGTACGTCTTCGCCATTATTCTTTGCTAGCATTCCTGTTACACTCCAGATACACCTATGGTCCTAAGCAGGAGGACATTCCTTTCTACCCCAGGGTCAAATTGAACGTCTGGGGTGATGTCCTGATCATAAACTATACTGTCGACTCTATTTCTGGTGTTTAGGTAACTACAACCTTGTCATGAAGGTCGAGTTCTTGTTCTTCTATTTGCCCACTATTATAGTCTTTGGTATTTGCATTCCTGTTTATACCATTAACTTTGCACAAGAGGAAATTATCTACACGACAATGACTGTTAAGGTCACCGGCAGGCAGTGGTAGGCTACTTTCGTTGATATGTGTCGTCCCCTGGACCGTTTGATTTCGCAAGGTACTGGGTGTACGAAGTCGAGTCCCCAACAGATGAGGAGGATGAGGATGATGAAGATGACGATGAATGATCATGAGGGCAGTCTTAGTGCTATCCGTCGCTATTGAACATCTTGAGGCGCGAGCCCATGAACCTAATGACGACGCGGGAAAGATTTTGCTATTGTTGATGATACCAGCTTTTGAGCACTTCGAGCTGATAGTATTCGTGACGTAGACGGTTGAGGTTATTTATGCTTATACAGTTTTGCGTTGTAGTTGCTTAGGAGAGAATATTCTGCACAATATCGTTGTGGACAGTATAGGCTGGTTCTATGAGTATAATCTTCAAATTAAGATCGTTTCGTTAGAAACCCTTTCTCTCTTGTATTGTGTGTCTACCCACAGTTCTGCCGTCATTGACGTTAGCAACCATGATCGAAATGTTTGCTTGCTGAAGATCAAATACCGTGCTTCCCAGATGTCTTTAGGTGAAGTGAAACTTATCCGGAATTGGTTAAAACTATGAGTGAGCAAACCCAGTCGCTCAAGAGAAGTTGGTTGTCTTGTAACAAGTTGGGGTTGGGAACGGAACTCCGAGTTATCTGAACTTATTCAAGAATATCTCGCCAGTCTATGTCCCTCAGCAAAGGGGCAGTTTTGAACTCAACAATGTCCTGTCGACCAGATAGCAAATAGTCAGTGGCGAATAGCAGCATCACACTGCCTTAATTGTAGCTCAAGAATTGTCAAATTTACTTAGTTCATGTTTTCAATGGCCGAAACACAAATCAGCAAAGGAGAAATATGACAAGGAGTTGCATGTGTGCACAATTCTGCGACTGATGCTTAGTTATGCACCTATGTGAAATCACGCACAACGGCAAGGGTGTGAAGCGAAGAACAAAACTTCTCAGCGCCCCAGTCACACCTAAGATAGTCCCGTTCATAGAGACACCGGCATGCTCACTCATGCTACCACAAAATAACAGTAGCTGGTACCCTCCAGCATTCTGATATTCTCAGTGGATTACTCACCATCTCGGATATGCCAGAGGTCTCGTTGATATAGACAGCTCGTGACTGACCGGCAGGGGACACCCTGAGGTCCACGAGCTATCATCAACCGTGGTTACGCATGTTTTCGATGAACCTCTCTCGCGAATAATCAGCGACTAATGCAATTGAGGCCGAGAACAGCTGCTGACGGTAGCGGCTGCGCAGCAACTGTTACCTACTAGCAGCGCGAAATTACTAATTTCAGCTAATTCGAGAAACATCATGCTAATTTCAGAGCTCATAGGGACACTTTCAGCCGCCGAAATGAGGCTGCTGCAGGCTAGCAAGCGATACCGATACCAGAGACTGGATCTTTTTTGTTGGTGACGCCGTCACTGACGGGGGCTCGATAAGACCAGTTTTCAAACAGACCCCAACACCTGATATTATGCTGCTGCGCATGGTAGCTGAGACATTAGCAAGAAAATGATGCTCGCTGTCTCCCAGAGTGCTGAACTTACGCAAGCTACTATCTATATCAATGAAAATGAAGGAATTTGCCTTATAGAGATCATGCGAGCGCACGCGTTGTGACTCTTCTATGTGACACATAGTATGTGTTAACCTCCACTGAGTGCTTTCTCGGGCATAGAGAATTGGCTTAGTCCCTCCCAGTCAGTGGATTCGTCACGCGACATCGCCGTTCTCAAGGCTTTCTGTCGAGCTCGTCGTCTTTCGAGCAAAGCTGAGCGATGCGTTGTTCTCTCAGCGATGGCAAACTGTGATATTGTTGGAGAGTGCACCGGGCCGGGGCTGACTGAGGCCGCCCAAGGCAGTAGAGAGCCTGAAGAACATCATACTGGTTTGCCTCATCATCACACTTCCATCTGTATAACTCCCGATGTGAATCTATGGACGGAAAAATGACGATGTTTACCTTGCCATTTCACGGTCGATTCCAAATTGGAGTAACTCCAGTCGATCAGCCTGGGAAAGTCATGTGCATACTCGACCGAAACTGTGCTCGATCGAACGTGATTGGTGAAGTGGCAGTTCGACGCACTCGTGTTATCTGAAAGTTCGATGTGCTCTGATCGGCTCGGTAGAGAACGTTGAGGAGCTATGCAAGATGATGGATTGCATGGAAGCTCACCACCATGGAAGTGATGACTGTGATAGTCATACGGCTTGCCTCCATAATCATGGCTAGGAGAACGAATCGATCCTGCACCCAAGTCATCCCAGAGGCTGACGAGCTCAGGCAATGTTGACAGTAGCTCGTTCACGGAAGGGAATTCCATCTTCAGGTGCGGAGTTACGGTGGACATCGTTCGGAAAAGTTCCTGGAAAAGTTCCTTGGCCTGGAATCCAAGGCGAACTCCAGGGCCTGGAGTTCGGCAATGCGAAGAGGAATGGTTTTCTTCGACAATTTTGTGTCTTTTACCGAGTCGCTGAGGCTTCCAGGGCCATTCGCTGTCTTCGATGATGTTATCCTTCTTGCATGCCCTGTTTTAGTACTCAACAGCTACCATCGAATGAACACATGTTGCGGTCCACCACAACAATGAAGTTTCACCCGTTTTAGAGCGGTCTGGCAGACCCCACGTATTACGCCACTTCACGTAAAACGGCGTTCTACGTGAAATGGCGCAATACTCTGAGGAAAACGCGATACTCGCGCTATGCGGTGGTCGTGAAATATATTTGTCACTAGTGTTTATCACATCACGGTCGTGAAACTCCAATCTACTAGTCCTAAACTCCATGATTAATACGCATGGACAAATAGTCCCAACCATAGGAAAGACCGAGGCAGGGGTGCTAGGTCATGTTTGGTGACACAGTGTTCGGGTTGTCACTGACACTCCACAAGACACGTGTTTTCACTATGAATTCTCGAACTGCAAACTAGAATCCCCCAAGGCGTAAACAAATCGATTGAAGGTTGGCATCCCTCTCGCGGTAACGATGTCATGCTTCCCACTCTGTGCAAGATGATGATTAGCATCATGGTGGAAGATAGCCTCGTAATGAGGAGCCGAATACAAACTGAAATGGACACCGAGAGTAAGCACCAGTGTGGAGGCACTCACAGACTGCCGACAAGTGGTGTAAACCTCTTGTGTGGCCACCAGTGTTTCAAGAGGTATCCAGCGATAGCATAGTCATCTTGTCTGCTCCTCCACAATGCTTTCATTCGTTGCCTGTGCCCGATCGGCATCATACTGAATCACTTCAATCAGATGGCCGAAGACCTCTGCGATTCTCACTAAGTCGATCGCGCGAGTCTGTCGTCCTCTGCAGATTCATGTTTGACAAACTTCGCTATCGGCAGTTCATGATCGTGCGCATGGGTCCAATAGAAATAAGCATCATCAGCCTCACAAGGTGGTGGGTGTATTGCCCATCTGAAATCAACCTTAGCTTGTCGCACACTATACTAGTCACGACTACGCCGTGAACTTACGGCCCTGTGATTTTGCCATTGCAGCATCTCGCCATAGGAGACGGATAAGACTTAGAAAGGTATTCGTACCGTGGATCGGGATCAGAGGGGGCATGCGGTAGCCTAGACGGAAAGCCTACTACGGTGGATGCTTACACTCGAACACATCTATTTCAAGTATTCATAAGGATCTCACCTACGTGTGAATTCCGTTCCTATCACTCAATGGTCCCATCATGTGATCTTCATAGTGAGTAAATTCGACTTTGGGATAGCACCTATGTCGCTAGAGTCCTATACGTACAGTAGAGGGTATCTATTCGTTGATGCTTCCTCTCACGGTTACTTTAGTAGTTCTCCAGGGAGAGCCGGTAGCTCATGAGTCACGTTTGTTTCGAGGTCCATAGCAACACATACATATCTAGGAACCGACACTACTTCGCATATTGTAGTCCGACGGTTGAATGCCGACTTCAACGTCGAACAGTAGAACGGCGTTGTACTCACCCTCGTGGGTTGACGTAACATGTCCCCTTAGGTGGTGGGGGAACATAGTTAGGCTCGAGAGGTAGCTTCGGTGGAGGCGCCATCTTCACCAGGTCCTTGCTTGAATTGACAAGTGGATTTTTCGAAAGATAGCTTCTCAATTCCGATGCTCGTGGGGGTAGGGGTTCTGACACGCTCTGTGACTCAATTCTCAGCATAGGAGTTTCACCCGTGATATGAAAAACACTAGTAAAAACATATCTCACGACTACTGCATATCGCGAATATCGCGTTTTCACCCAGTTTTACGCCACTTGAAAGGAGTAAAACTCTATAGTTCAGCGAATGAACCTACGGCCTCTATCGTCAGTAACAGCGTCTTTTTCTAATAACTGAGGTTCTCTCCTTTGCATGAAATCCTGGAGTCCAGCAATGCGAGGTGGTCTAGCAGGATCGTTGGGACCGTAGTCAGCTTGAGGTCCGTGGCACTGTAACAGCGGTGAATTGCTTGTTATACGGACCTGAGAGGAACCTCTTCATGAACACTCGCAATGATGCTCTACGAACTGTGTTGTATGTGAAGGGTGTTTCAGTTCCAAACTTCGTGAACACCTTTGAGTATGCAGAAGCCAATTTTGGGCGAGAGTTTCGGAGTTCAACTGCCAACTCCGGGAGTTGGCACAAATACTGCCAACATCATCATTAATAGACATGTCGAAATTGAATCCTTATTGTAGCGCATGAAGGAAGATATGACCGTTTCAGACGCTCACGGTGTGGGGCCACTCAGACGACTATGCTACTAGCTCGCCTGTTGATGTAGTTAGCAGGGTGGCCACTGGACTCAGAGCCCCTCGCCCTCACAGAAGACTCACCCTCAGGCATGGTTTCATTCTAACTGGCCGAGGTCTGATTAAATGACCCATGGCATCATATTTGCATGTAGAGAGATCGTCACTGCAACAAGTCGGCCACGAGCCTTCATTCTGATAGAGCTCTCCATCAGTAGTCCGAAGGTGGTGATCATTATGTAACGAGGTAAGTATAACCATAGTAAATGAAGCTTGTCGAGGGATTATAGACTCAATGCTGAGAGGGAATGCTGAGGGGAGTAGCTGTCTGGTTGGGCGGCTACAGAGCCGATTCCGAGCAACGCAACGCAAACCATATCACCCGACTATACGGGCGATAGCCTATCGCCGACAGCGTAGGCTAATGATAATCACAAGTGACTAGACTCCATCCCGAAAGCCATCACTCATTCAATTTGACCAACCACGGTCATGCGCTGATAATCGATCCTTCTGGCGGACGAGTATTAGCAAATCGATTGCCTGATCGATTCGTTCCTGAGCGACAATCGCATGAATATTCATCATTGTCACTGTTGACCATGCAAATAGACCGGATTCAGCTCTTACTGTGCTATCTCCGTTGGTTATTGCATGAAGATTATGAAGGCGGCAAGTGGCTCCGCTTTCTGGTAGTAGGTCGTGGAATGCTGGTCGTCCACAATCCGACTAGTCACTCTTCGCAGTGTTGCGCTCGTATGGATGTGTTCCTGCTAGAAGCGTATCAATCGGAGAGGAAAGCCACTAGATCTCATCATGTCTGGCCGAGAAACTCTCAAGTGTCTCGCGGTCCTTATGAGCTCTAATATCTCACTGTAAAGGTCGATGATGATTTTCAAAAATTTAGACAAGCATATGCCTGATATGTTTTGATGAATCCTTTGACACGTCTGAGATTGACTGCTCTGTCACCCATATTACCGATTTCCTAGGCTCCACGTGCCTTAGAGATTAAATGGCCTTGGGTGTATAGTAATAAGAGACCATAAGCTCGTGATTGGCCTTCAATGCCTATTGCGTTTCGCAGATCTCATACAGCTGATTGATTTATCGATGATGACTTAACGGAAATCCAACACTGAACTCTCGTGTTGAGCAAATCCAACGAGCTTTTTAACCCTGAGGATAAATTGAATATATTACGCCCACCTATCGCACGGCGTTGCGAATTTCCATGGTAACGCTGTTGAGCGTTCGGGCTATAGCAAAGCAGACTTTATGCGTTGGCGATTCACTTGTGGTAGTGTATTGTCGATTTGAGAGGTCCTAAAGCATAAGTGTTTTGAACGCCAGTATTCCAATCAGCTGCCAAGTAATGGTATTGGTAGTTGCAAGACTCATGGCAAGAGTATATGGCCGTAGCACTTTGGAGACGAGGATAACACATATCACGTTTCTTATACGCACTACGCTACATTTTCATGCTCATTGAGTGTTACGGACTGAAATCTTTCTTTTCTAGAATGTGTTGTGTTGTCCAACGATATGGGAAGTTCTGGTATTGTACGTTGATCGATTCATTCAGTAAATGTACGACATCCTTACCGACCATTGCTAGCGAGCTTATATTGCTCGAAGTTGGCATGTTTAGCGACCTCGTACATAAAGAATTGCAGTTCGTATAGATCCGGGTTTATCAGGATTGCACCCTCAATAGTGTAGATATATAGCAAGGTTGAACGATCCCGCTTTTCTTAACGCTATTAAGCTCAACGATGACGGATATACATCCGATGATAGATGGTCGCGTTGGGAGGGGATCAACGACAGCTCGGAGGGCACATTCCGTGTTACCCATGCTCAGTTAAGCTACACACATTTGTTAACAGAATAGCATCGTGTTGTCATACCACGGGTCATATGAATAATCAAGAGTATCCCTTGCTCCAGCTTAAACCGATATTATCGGTGTGGTTCTTCGCACATTGACATTCGGAACGGCACACGCGAACATAACACCTTTCCGAGGTAGCAGAAAGAGACAGCCTCTCTGTTATATCCAAATAACACCTGATGACGTTTCTTCGTGCTTCCTGCGAGGTTTTTTGGCCGAACTAGTTTGGCGTGTTGTGCTGTAGCAAACCGTATATCGACATGTGACGGGACACTCGGTCGCCGAATACCATGTAGCAATATATATGCCGTGTGTTGATACGACGTTTCTGCTCTATTCAGTACTATATGAAAACGCATCCCAATCTATGACGAATAGGTTTTGCGTTATACGTGTCAGTATTTCTGCTTCAGCTTCGTCGCTGGGTTCCAGTTGGACTCCTCACTGGTGCTCGTTGGTTATTAATATCCTGGTCTCATTTCGGCAGTATCTGCAAACGACAAGGCCAGAGTGTTGACGCTGAAGAGGCGCCTCTCTGAGTCCGATAGAGACCTCATGGCTATCGTCGATTGGCTCAGCACTATCAACATGGATAAGCAGCTCTTGAAGGGGACAACGATTGGTAGAATACTTGACTCTTTGAGCATGTTTGTTCATCGCGATAAGGAATCATGGTTGAAGCGGAAGTAATGTGCTCAAATGACATAAGCTCATGTTGCTGAACATGAATTTGATTCCCGAGAAAAGACTCCCGAGAAGAGGCATGTTCCAGTGTGTAAGGTGCAGAAAGAGTCAAACAACGTGAGGCAATCTCACGGGCTCTCCTTTTCCATGCCTTGACGTTCTATACATACTCCCAAATTGAGACTCGTTCTTCTGATAAGCCAATGACTACGTTTGTTAGTAACAAATTGTTAACTGTTTGAACTGCGGCAACAAGTTTAAGTTTCGCTAGCTATCTTATGAATATGGCTGGTGGTACCATAGCTTGCAATGCCATGTTGTTCCTCGCACATCTCATTGAGACCGATTTGTGTTATTGTGAGCTATTCTTAGGAGTCATTCCCGTGGACCGATTTTGTCGGAGATTCAGGTTGTTAACGCGGTTTGCCTCGGCGTCAACCCTGGTCCCACCATCAGCGCACACTGCGCACCGAAAGATCGAAAAGGAGCCATGCAGGAATGTTAGCTTTAAGTCCTACTAAGAACAAGTCCCTTCCATCATTCTGCAACAAGGTCGTGCATAACAAGGTCATCATATTCTCCAACGTTCTCACCTACTTCGTGTTGTGCAATCTACAATCCACAGTAATTCGCCCAACCCAAAGCGATTTGTGTATAGAAACAGTACGTTGGTGTGAGGTACGTTGTTGAGTTCCGAAGTTCTTCATTCTTGTCGTCTACTCTTCTTCTTCTTTGGTGCCTTGGACCTCCCAGTCTTCCTCTTCTTGCCCAACAACGCCAAGGCATCCGTAAGGTCAGCAGTATCTTTCTCCTCCTTGGTGGTCTTCGATCTGGAAAAAAGCGACGACCAATCATCCTATGCTCTTAGATAACGCAAGCGTTGTTACTTCTCTGCAGCTTCCTGGTCCTCTTCTTCCTCATCATCATCACTCTGCTCATTGACCTTTCGTTTCTTGTGGCTCCTCTCAACCCCAGCAGTTGAAGTATCCAAATTGAGAATGTCATCAAAGAGTTCTCTGGCTTGCGATTGTTTCTGCATTTTCTCTTCCCATTCCTCATTGGCCACCTTGAACCTAATGAAGAATTAAGGACGGACAACAATCCACTTTTGCCTTACTCATGGAGCCCGAGTCGTTTCCACAGGACCATGTTCTTTTCCTTGATATCCTCCTCGATCTTCACCAAGCGTTCAGCCATTGTCTTGCGCAATGCCGCCTGAGGAGCCAATTCCATGCGAGGTGCTTTTTTGCGCTATCCCTAGTACATCGGCGATCGAGCTCTCCCACATCTTAGCCAAGACCCAAGACCCTGCAGAGGGCTGTGTGGCAAGCTTCTCGATCAAACCCTCGTGCTTCACCAACGCACGGATGAACTGCATCCGCTGCCCTTGAGGTATAGGGGAGTTGGAATCATCAATAAACTAGCAATACCACGAAGAGTAATCCAAACGGTTCAAGTCACGACTTACACTCTCGATGAGCCTCCCGCCAGCCCGATCAGTGCAGTATCCAACGACAGATGATTCTTCTTCCGACCTCTTGGCATCAGCCAGGATCTGCGGGCCGAAACCACTGACCAAAGGCTGCACTCTCCTAGCCGGGAAGCGCAGGAGGAGTGTGGTGGCCAGAATGCATGCTCCTGATGACAGAGTGCTCGAGGGAGCGATGACTCATCTTGTGAGAGGGAAAGCACAACACCTGAGATCCGACGAATATCATGGTCTAGTGATCCC